ACCCGATCCCGACCATTTCAGCCTCCTGAAAAGAGCTGGCAATTTCAAGAGCAGAGCCTGTACCCGGCTGCCTTCCCCCCCCACACCACACACACACACACTTCTCTCTCATGTTTCTGGGTCAGTAAACAAGAAGTTGTGTGTTCCTTTAAGGAGCCCCACCCTTTGCGCAGCGGAGGGAGGAAGGACAGGCCTGCGGAACAGCCGCTGAGGAGGGAAAAAAAAAAAAAAAAAAAAAAAATCCAACAGAGGACGTTTCAAGTCCCCAATAGAAACTGTGCCTGATTTGGCCAATGTTGGAGATGTAAAAAAAAAAAAAAAAAAAAAAAAAAAAGAGAAAGAGCAGGAGGGAGGGAGGGAGAGGGGGAGAGAGGAGGGGAGGGGAGGAGGAGGGGGGAGGAAAAACACTAAAGGGGTAGCTATGGAGATGGAGCGTTTTCCTGGCTGCTTTCTTTGACAGGTGTTGAGTGGGGCAAAAGTCTTAAAACAGAATCCAGCATGTACGCCAAAGGTAAAGGAGCTGTCGTCCCTTCCGATAGCCAAGCGAGAGAAAAGTAAGTGAATTTGTGCGCCTATATATATATATATATATAAAATGTGTGTGTGTGTGTGTGTGTGTGTGCGGGAGTTTACCTGCTTATCATGCGAGGCGAAAGGGGGGCAGAGGAGGGGAGTCCAACTTTGTAAAACTAGGTAGTGTAATTTTAAAAAAAGGAGTGTACTGTACTAAAAGTGCGCTCCTCGGTGCGGGGTCTCCCCCCTTTCCTCCCCCTCCGACCACCGTAGAGGTGCGTCTCTTAAACTTTTTTTTCTTTAAATACTGCCTCTTGTTTGCACTTTTTATTTTATTTTTTTGCACGTTTTTTCTACATATGTGTTTTGTTGTTATCTCTCTCTCTCTCTCTCTCTCTCTCTCTCTGTGTGTGTTGCAACCTTTCTAAAGACGGCGACCATGCGTTGTTTTTGTTTTTATTGCGTGATAAAGGCTGCGGCGTTACACGCAGGAGAAAAGCGCGTTTTTCCCCCCGGTGTGTTTGCGGGGTTCAAACACGGTCCTGTATGCGGTGTGTGTGCTCGTCCCTGTGCGGACTGCGCTGCTCGGTCGGCTCCTGGAAACTTTCGGCGGTGTGGTTGAATTATTGCCGTGTTTGTTCTAGTCCGTCTGCAGCGTGTTTACTGTGGAGGGGTTGTGTGTTTTTATTTGTTATTTACAGCCGGTTTAGAAAGCGAAAAAACCTTTTGCGATGAAAAAAGGGGAAAAGTTTTGTCCCATTCAGCAGTCATACAGCGGTGGTAAACTTTTAGCATCCACTCACAGGAATGGAGAGTCATGCTGCCACGAACATGAAGCCTGTTTATTTGTGCAGACTTTTTAATAAATGTTTTATTGCCGATTGATTGATTGAAGGATCGATTCTTGATGGAAATATCGCGAAAAAGAAAGCTAAAAAAATCCCCGTCGTTGTGTTTTTATTGCATCACGCTTTGTGCTACATTTATTTTATTGTATATTTTTCAGATTAAAAGCACATTGTGCATGCAGTGCTGTTGAATAAGAGATAAATGTAACTTTTAAATGTCTCGTAGACTGGAGGCTGCTGTGCTCTCTGTGCTCTCGATGCTGCCTACAGTATAATCTCTGTATGGTGGGGCCACACTCAAACATTTGGTCCTCCTTTTTGCATCTCAGATCAGCCTTTTTTATATCACCATTAGCTATTTTTAAAGCAGTCTGAGGTTAGAGGAGTGAGCAGGGATCCCTGCTGAGCTCCAGTTGTAATCTAAAAACACTGTATAGTCCTGAGAGGCTGTACCACCTCATACATCTGTAATACAAACTACATTTCTCTGCAGACTCTCCTGTATTATTGTTATTAATGTTATTGTTATTATTATTATTTTTTTTTGCATTGCTGTGTCACATTCGATTGATTAAGCTTTCTAGAGATGTGGCTCGTATAAGCTTCCTCGACTACTACTTTGTACACTTCTGGTGCCACGAGCGTTTTAATTTCACTCTGAATTCGCATCAGATTATTGGAAAATTGAGAAGCTCCGTGCGTGTTTGTGTCTGTGTCGAGGTGGAGGAGTGAATCCTAAATGAAAACAGTCCCATGTGGTTTTATGAACAGCAGGCAGAGTGACCTTTGAACCAGCATATGATGCTTTAATATTGCATATGAACCACCAGCAGACTTTTAGCTGCTATTACACCTGTTTGTGTGCCCCCCTTTTTTTTATTTCAATACTGTATTCACAATATGTTGAAAAGCAATAGATAATTAAAATGCTGTGTGTGTTTATAGACAGTTTTTAGTTGGACTTGCTTGTTCAGGGAGTGTGGATTATGTTCCATGTGTTATTGGGAGTGAAATCAGTGCAGAGGCAGCATGTATTTCAAATGATAGTGTAGGAGGAGGATTAATAATTTAACTCATGAGAAATACAAGTCTTTTGAGAACTGGAAATGATGAATGCTTCTCTGTTAAGGCTGCTTGTGCATAACAGCATTCTTGAATTTATTTATTTTAGTATGTTTGGCATCAGAAACTACACAGTAAATATCAAAGTCTTTAAACCTAGTGTGTGTGTGTGTGTGTGTATGTGTGTGTGTCCTACAGGTAATGTCCAGACATAATGGACGACAACTTGCCCTCTCCCCTCACCTGTCTTGTCACCCTAACCTGCCCCGCAGGGCCAACACATGTTTCCTTGTAAATGTGGAGCTCACAACAGCTGCCTCAATGCATCACAGAATTAGCTCATATTCATATTTACATATTCATATGGCTCTTTACATATTCAGATACTAAAATGAGGGCGCCCCGGATGGACTCCAATTAAAGGAGACTCAGTCGTACAGTGTGACCGAGTATCACAGCTGCAGCTCTCCCCTAAAGGATTTATTATCAAGTCATATACTCACTTGATTAAATAAACTATAAATCCATTATATAAGGTATTTGGTTGGTCAGCTGTTTGGTATTATTACTATACCAGTATATATATTATAGGTCTTTCTGTTTTGCATTAGAGACGCAAAAGTTGTTGAAAGAAAAAGTAGAGACTAGATAGTAGAGACTTGAGAAAAATTTAATTTGTCCAGAGCGGTGTTTTCCCTGTATAGCTGAAAGCAATCAGACAATACAAGAGTGTGGGCAGGGCGTGTGAGTTACAGCAGACCAATTGGTGCTACAAGGAAGAATATTTACTGAGCAGTGTATCTGGATTTTTTATGAGACGCTTCCTTGTGTAGTTAAATTCCTAAAATGTCTCATGTTCAGTATTTTCAGTAACAGAGTTTATTTCTTTTAACACCAGACTTGTTTGGCAGTCTGGTGTCATTTGGAGTGCAGACAGCTGCTGGAGCTTTTCAGGGAAAACTGGATTAAGCTCACTCTGGAAGTTAGAACAGCCAAGAGAAACAGTATCTTCCTTATCGTTTTTACACCACTGTCTCCTTCAACTCCCAAAAAAAGAGTTACTGTACGCGGCCGCAATGTTGTTCAGGTGCTGTGGTGTTTTATGATCTTCTGGTGTTGCAGTCTTCCCATGCTGCCACAGGTAACGATGATCTGTTGATTTCAGTAAGGAGTTACGTCAGAAGTGGTACAGATCCTGCGTGTAATCTGGTGCGTACCGATGTGCAGGGGTAGCTTCTGAAACCTAAAAAAGTTTTATAAGATAAAAAAGCTCCTCCATAGCAGAGCACATCCTCCTGTGTTAGCAGCGCTGAACGCTCCAGTCCCCTCAATAGTGTACAGTAGTTGTCAGATTGGGTACACAAAATGTTCCAATTTATAAGCTCAAGTGTGCATTTAAGTATGTTTGCGACACAAAGCTGTGTGTGTGTGTGTGTGTGTGTTTTATTTCCTTTAAAGCCTTGAAACCAAGACTCGAGTCCAAACAGTTTGCTCAGAAATACGACATATAACAAACAGTCACACGTACATTTCACACTTATGTGGATTCCTCCACACAGCCAAGGCCTTGCCATACAAGTGGAATTCAGTTGCCTGGTTTCACTGTCTTGAGATCACAGGTAGCAGGCACGAGGGGGGAGTGAAGTGTTTTCTTCGCACATCCTTGAGAAACATTATTGTGATCAGACATTTTGTGAAAAAGGAACATGCTAATAATAATAATAAAGGTAGAGGGAGAGCTCGTGCCCTTGTGACCAACGAAATTAATTACTCTCCGCACTTTTTTTAATTTTTTTTTTCTAACAAGCGTTTTGTTGAATATCATTTGAACAGGGAGGTAGCTTCAATATTAATGTCACCTTATTATTTAGTTACTGGAACCTCTTTGAAATATGTACTGATGAATCCGGCATCTTAATTAACGGTGCCATTCACAAAAATATTTAATAGCTTGATCAAACATCTCATTTTTAAAAAGCACGTTCTTAGTTTCTGAAAGAATTCTGCTCCCTGCGTCTGTTTCCTAATCCTCTGTGTTTGTTTACAGACAGTTTTTGTGCGATTTCGAGTGTCGCTGTATTTGTTTGGGAAAAGAACTTCAACTTCAAGAACTTCAAGTTAATCAGTTTGTTTTGAACATGGGGTTCTTTACATCCTCCGCTCCTCCTCTGGCTCCTCCCACGTATTTACATGCAGTTTAATAGGGATCTTCAGGTCTGAATGCATGGTTTTGATTCTACACAGATGGCTCTGCCATCTGCATTTTAGCCTTTTGAAGGAAGCATAAAGAGCTGCGCACTAACATAGGCAGAAACACTGCACTAAAAGTAAAGAAACCCTTGATTTACCCTCGGCACCCTTTGGCTGACTGTGCTTTCATTCAGATATGTCAACAGTCAATTAATGCCGCCTTTCGTCAGCTGCTTTGGGTGCATCCGCACAAATTTGTTAGTTTTCTCAGTTGAAATAAAGGAGACAGTATAAATATTGAGGCTACGTGCCTGAAGTTGTTAATCGGTTTGGCAACAGAGTTCTCATAAGAGAAGTGTGTAAGTCTTGTACGAGAATACAGAGAAAAGAATAATCTAAGCAGGTAAATAAGACTTCCTGTGTTCCTTAAGATAAAGTCTTCTGTAACATGGAATACAAACGTTCTCTCTGAAGTTTGGATTATTTTTCCGCATTATATCATTGCCCTCATTAACTGCTGTGGGAGGAGGCTCTGGTGATAACAAAACTATGTCAGCTATGTCAATATAATCTCCTATCACAAATCTTTATAAATCTCTCTCCTCTGCCTCTTTCACTGAAAAGTTGTGTTTCTGAGTTAAAATCAAACTTGAACAAGTTATCAGGCAGTTAAACTCTGAGGTTAGAGGACGTTTACAGGTGAGTCTGTCAATAGGTAACGTCACAGAGTGAAGCTTGCTGCTGGTAGAAAGTGAGAGGAGTAAATGTGTGTGTGTGCTTGTAGGCACATGTGTGTGTGAGAGAGAGACAGTGTGTGGATTAACCCATGGCTAAAGCCATGCGTGTTTACACGCCTATTGACACTGATTTGTTTTGACAAAGAAACTGCCATAACAAAGCCAAGCAAATATAAACAGCGTGTGCAGTGGGAATAAGCTTTAGTGAAACAGCTTCACAGTATCACAGGTGTCACACACAGACATCCAATCTTTCATTCACCTTCAACTGATACATTCAAACCCGTTCACCACTACAGCGTCAGATCTATACCGCTTTCATATGATGCTTATAAATATTTAATATTTAGGAAATCATATGTTGTGTTTTTAGCCCGTTACACTCTGTTACATTCACTGCACCGCAGAACATATAAATTATGAATGCTATACCTTTTTATTCTTTTCTGAAAGGCTTAGATAATATAGAAAAGCAGATGCAGTTGCTGCTTCATCCTCCTCCACCACTTCCTGCATGCATACCTTACCTCACCCTGCCCCTGCTCTCGCTGCTAAATTATTGAAACGAAGACATGGAAGTTAATTTGCTAACTGTCTGTGCTTTAGCTGGCTAAACTCAGCTGAGGTGCCCTTGTCTCTGGAGGCGAGCGAAGGAAAGGGAAGGCTGGATGGGGCAGCCTGGGGCTAAATGTCAGGTGTGTTTTCTGGGGACGTGGCAGTGGGAGAGATCTCCTTGATGTGTGGACATTGAGCAAAGTGCTAGTGAGGCAGCATGAGGTTAGAGTCAGGAAAAGAAAAGAAATGATCAGAAATGGTGTTGTAGATATTTAATGTCACAGCTAAAGTCGCTATATGGTGGGAAAACTGTTGCAGATGATCTTGAAGCTGAAGAGGGTGAGTTAACACACAATAGATGGCTTTGTTGCTCTTTTTAATGTGAACTCACACACCAGGTTTGACCCTTGATATCCAGTCAGCAGTCAAATTTTTCCACTTCCCCCACTGATCTGATCTGCCCCTGTGTCATTTGCATCAACATGCTTTATTGTTGAATTTCATTGTTCATCTGAACGACTTCAGCCAAGGAAGGAGAGAGTGAAATGTGCAATAGGGGAAATGCGAGATGTGGAGTGGACTGCGTCGTTGTGGTTTGTCTTGTAAGCATCTCATCTTTTATTCCTGAGTGACATGTGTAACTAGTGCAGAGTTCACAGGGAAGGAATTCAGGTTTACAGTATTCACATAGGAAAAAGAGGCCCTGACCTTCAGTTTCCCTCTCATACAGTACAACCCTCCCCCCATGTCTCCTTTATCTACCTGGCCTTCCTCGGGCTCTGCTCCATCAGCTTGCAAAAAAGTCTCCTCCTCAGCCGAGTTACACTTACTACTTCTGACAGAGTAACAAAAGGTGTCCCCTGAAGCCTGGATTGAATGAGTGTTTTTAAATAATGCATTGCAGCCGGAGCAGGTGCCCATCGCTAGGGCATAGAGCCCCTCAGATCACACCAGGCTCTGCCATGAAAATTTCATTGCTGCAGTGCTCATGGGAATCTCTGTTCGATCCTGTACAGTGCGGACAGGGTGTATAGGAGCTGACGCCTGCCGCTGGGTATTTCACACTGCAAAGAGGGACCTCAGTTTTACATTTCACACTGACGGACCACTCACTTTACCCAGAACCCGGGAAGCTTAAACATCACCCTGATCAGGCTGATGAAGCAAAAACGAAGGTAGCAAACCTTGATGGTTGAGTCAGCTTTACAGTGAATGACCAGACAAACCTGGTACCTCAAGTAGTGTTACAACCATACTCTCAACTTTATTTACTGAAACACATCTGAAAAGCGCCCTCTGAGTGTCCAGCTGCCAAATCCAGATGAGAGAACTATTAAGGTTTATGAGCAACAAAATATATATGTGGACTTCTTTTCACCCCATGGGCAAGAGGCTGCATTATTACTAGAGGTTTTTGGTTTATATCATTGATGTATTACCGAGAACTGGATACTATGTTCAAAGATCGTGCCTCATTCATTCCTATTGAAGTTGCTTTTTGCGTACATATGCCAAAAAAAACCTCACCCCCCCCATGGGGGTTTTACTCATGTTTTTAGCCTCTGAAGGGAACAAATCGTACAGCAATTTCGTTGCGAGACAACACGTAATTAAACACAGTAGACTTGTTCCTAAACACAACACTGATCAGTTTCACTAACAGGGCAGTCACTCCATTTGAGATCAATATTAAACATTTACAACAAGCAGTTTGCTCCTTATTGTGTCTCATGCTTCTCCCAGTCCTTGTCTCCACATGCAATCTGTGAGTGGCCCTTTAGCAGTGACCCCCCCACTCCCAGCAAACACATATATACTCTCTATTGAACTATAAATCCTTGTATTTTAAACAGCGTGTTTACACTGCAGATCTGAAATGGTTGTTGATACAGTTGTATCTGATGTAAGAGTGAGAAATAGAAGAGGTGATAGCATCTAGCGTCTAATGCTAGTTGAAACTGGTCTGGACCAGCTGTAGCAGATAATTTTCTTTTAGCAGATGGTTGTCAAGACATTGCAGTGAAATTCAGTGATATCTTTGTGAATATAAAGAGTCAGGTTGTTCAACTCTGGCCCTGCTCATTATTGATTCATTCGGTATCATCCAGCATCAACCCAAACATCATAACTCTGTGTCTGCTCTGGCCTTGACGCATGTGATCAGCATAGAAACAGTCGCCCACCGTACACAACAGCACAGCAGCTCCCCTCTACCCTTATTTCAGACCTGGAGACAATTCGCATACTGATGATTTCAGGCTGTGATGTCTGTCCAGGCTACAAGTAACAAGGATGAGTCAGCTGTTGAGAGATAGACAGCAATGATCTTGTCCCCCCCACCCCAAAGAAAATCACACTCTGTGCTATGGAGATGGATTGATTTTAATGGATCATAATCAAAACAATCCACAGTCTTCTGTAAACTTTCTGCCTTTTTTTGCTTCTCGAGTTAAAAACCTTTTGTTCAGTCTGACTGAAACAGTCAACGGACTAGTTCAACCTTTCCTTTCCCTTTCTAAAAGTGATAAATGAGAAGATCGATAACAATCTCATATTTGTATGTAAATATGTTAAGCTACAGCCACGATACAATTAGTTAGTGTAGCAGCGAACTGCTAGCATGGTTCTGTCTAGAGATAACGAGCCTACCAGCACCTCTCAAGAACGCTAATTAACACGTTATGTTTTGTTTAATCCATATTAAAAAAAAAACAATGTGTAAAAATGACACATTGTGCTTTTATGAGGGGTTAAGTGTTGGACTATAGAGTGACTTCATGGAGTCTTGTCATCTTGTTGCTCGGCAACCAGACTTTTACTTTCTACGTGAAAACATACATCTTACTCTTTGTATCAAAACCTCACACAAGCTGAATGTGATTTTTTTTAAAGAAAATAGTTCAAATGTGTTGCTGGTACCAAAGAGGTACCAGCAAAATAGGCACGAGTTGTTTAAAGGTCCAATGTGTAACATTTATTAGATATATAGCTCTATTGGCAGAGATATATTATAATATTTATAGGGATGTTCTCATTAGTGTATAATCACCTGAATATAGGAATTGTTATGTCTTTGTTACCTTAGAATGAGCTGTTTTTATCTACAGAGGGAGCGGGTCGCCTTCCGTGGAGTCCGCCATATTGAACCACCATGTTGCTACAGAAGCCCAGAACAGACAAACAAAACATTGGCTTTAGTTTTTGTTGACTTTTTTCATGGCACCTTTTCACTCAATCAAACGTACTGTGAAAGGCTTGTTTGTAGAACCAAACCCACTGTGAATCAACACCTAACTCCTCCCTTGCTGCTTGTAGCTTGCTATGTATTTGTTGTTGTTTTAGCATATATCCTGTATTTGAACCATATTTTGACAAAGCCAGAGCTAAAACACGAGTCTTGGACTAAACACAGTCAAGATGCGAGGCTGAACTCCAGTGGGATGCTCATGTTGCTCTGTGTCTGTTGGTTATGTCACAAGTTATCCATAACAACTTGATAAGCAAATATGTTTCTAAAAGTTTGTTTAGGAATTGTTCATTATCATAATTAATTAATCATTCAGCCATGTTTCCTACCTTAAATCTGATAGGAAGGTAGGCATCAACATGTATGTGACAGCTAAAAATAACAGGAATCCTACACGCTGTGTGGTGACATTTGAGAGTCCAACTTCAGCCACATTGGAGAATATTTTTCGTCTCGGCTGTCCATGTTTCTCTCAGTGTGTCTACACTGTTTTGTTTTCAGCCTCTATGCCTCAACAGCAGAGTTCCTAAAACCACAGGGATATGGCTGAGTGCCACGGAGGCTCTTTAGCTCAGAGCTGCAGAGCTTTACATCACACATTTACAACCCCTTCCACAGTGTATATGATCTTCATACTGTAAAATCGTGTTTATCCAAGCTCCATCTAAAATGACACAGTGATGATTTCCTGCCAATTGTGCACATTTGTTGGACTTAAGTTGGTGGGCTACTTGGAATGAGTGTGACACATTTGGGGATGAAGAGAGAGGATGAACCTGTTTTTTTTAATTATTTTTAAATAATATTTCAGTTAAATGTTGTTTTTGAGAATGAAATGAGGAGGTTTTATGAGCAAATGGAGTGTAAAAGATATGATCCTCAACACTGACTTCTTTCTCTTTGTCTCTCTGTCTCTGTTTTCCAGGTTAGCTTTATACGTGTATGAGTATTTGCTGCATGTCGGCGCACAGAAATCAGCACAGACCTTCCTGTCAGAGGTAAGATGTTCTTTCACTTTGACTTCCTGTGCCTAAAGCGTGAGTGTGATTCCCCCTCCATTGTATAACCAGGGATGGAATTTACATTATATGTTGTTCTGGGTTCAAGCAGCTGTTGAGCAATCTTACAAAAAAAAACAGCTTTGGACATTTAAAACTGTGACAACATTAATACATTAATAAACCAAGACTTGCTAAACAACAACAATGTTCTTTTGACTTGTTTGTTAATTTGTGACAACGTAAACGTTGCATCGGTTGGGCTACTTAATATGATTACCCGCCCTTCATTATTAGCTCTAATTTGTAATCATAAACACTGCATAATTAGAGTAGTCTGACATATTGTAAGCATGTGTTGTTGCTCGCTTTCCGCTGTGACATTTAAGAAGCAAAGCCGGTCCTTGCTAAGTTAAATCAAGTGTACCTTTAATATTTGAAACCATTCCAAACATAACCATTTGTCCCAGGTCTGCTGAACTTATTAGTCTCATATTAGGCCGCTGAACTGTTGAAGAGGTAAGGTCTCTAATGTGTTGCATCCTCTTCCTTAATGGACATCCTTCCTGCTAATGGTCCTATGTCCAGGCCGTCTCCTGTACAACACCTCTCCTGCTCACTGGCTTTATTCAGCTCCACTTAATACACTCCCCAACACTGAGAGGGCTCCGATGGCAAGCAAGGCCAGGTCTATATCGTTCAACTTCAATACTGACATCATTTATCTGTCATTTCATCAGGTGAGCTCGGTGTACAGTCACATAGAGATACTGTTGCACTTGTACACGTGCATGCTGCACACCCAGAGGTGAGGGTTTAGTGAGCGACACCGTTTCAACAAGCAGTTCAACAGAGCATCTGTAAGAGTGCTAGCAACAGGCTTTGGTGAAGTAAGAGAGTGGAAATTAGATTTTCTACCATATAAAGCAGGATTACAGGAATGGTTTGACATTTTGGGAAATTAAATGAAATTTGCTTTCTTGCCGAGAGTTTGATGACAAGAGCGATACAACTATTAACACTAACCCTAACCCTGGACTATTTGTTGGTCGGACACTTCCTGGAGTTTTGTCTTCATCTTGACTGTTCCTAACGTGTATGCTAAGCTAAGCTAACCTGGCTACTGGCTGCAGCTTCATATTGACAGTACAGACATGAGAGTTGTATAAATGTTCTCATCTAACTCTCGGCAAGAAAGGGAATAAGCATGTTTCCTAAAATGTCAAACTATTACTTTAATGAGCTTCAGAGCAGTGTTTGTGTAACCTCTTTGAGATCTGCTTGTAACAGTTTTCAACCATGACCATTTTATTTTATTGGCCTAGGCAATAAAAACAAGTTGTAAAATATATGTAAAATCAATATCAGATGATAATCCCCTCATAATTCTTAAAAAAGTTGTGTTGAAAAGGTCTTGAATTTCTGAAGAAAAATCTAATCAAAAGAAAAAGTAGAGAAAAATACGGCAAGAGAAGAGATCGCTGAAACATGGATGCATCAATCAGACGCAATCAGACAGAAATTGGTTGCCTTTGCTTATGGTGTGCAGGCAGGCGGGCAGCAGGGCGGGCAGGGCTGCTGGAGGGCGGTCCAGCTGCCAGCAACCACGAGTGGACGTCTACAATATGAAGTAAAGATGGGGGAGCAGCACACAGAGATTAAGTGGTCGGGCTGCAGAGAGCCTCGCTCATTTCGGGGCCTCGTGGGTGAATCTTCTCCCAGAGATTGAGTGTTATTGGTGAGCTGCTGGAAAGGGGTGAAGTTCTGGGTCACAGGCAACCAGAGGCACGCAGACACACACAGACCCACGCACACTTCCACAGCCTCAAACAGGAATTAAAACAACATCTACACAGACAGGGATTAAAACAACATACACACAGACACATCCAAACAATCCATGTCCACAAGGCATGCACGCTAAGACTGCTAAGTCAATTTGACGCCAGTTGTCTTAAATGTTGCGCCTGCAACAGTATATTGCTCAATGATTTTGTTTATTTCAACCACAGCATCGTTTATATTTAGTTGTCTTATATGGTCAGAGTCAGTGTATTTGGATTAGACTGACAGTAATGGGTACATATCCGAGCGAACACAGCAGCTCGACCTTTCACCTTTTCCCCTTCATGCAGTCCTAGCAGTAGACTTTAAAATGTTGAGGGATTCTCACAAGTATTTGAAGAAAGGTTGCAAACAGACATGATTTGTTATACTCAACTACATCACTCAGGGTTCAGTTACTGCATAAGCACCCTTTCAACATTCTCTAGATCTTTCTTGAAGCACACAATTTTTCCCTGTGTTCCCTTTCTTTTATACTTTGATCATCAGTCTTTCTTCTTTTCTTCTTAAATCTTCTCACTGTTTAGTGCCTCATTGTTTTATTCTTGTTCTCCTGCTTGTTTCTCCTCATTCTGCACGCTAAATGCACTGCAACTTTAGAAAACATAAGGAAATTAAGAAAGAAATTGCTACAGATAAATAAATTACAAGCTAATTAAGAAATCAGTCAAGAAAACACATAAGGACCATACAAATTGGTAAAAATGGGTTTAAATCATACACAACTACATAATCAGTAGTTCAAAATTAGAGATGTGGTTGAAAGCTCTAGAAAGTGAATATAATGAATCTGCCAATTATTTTTGATCGATAAATAAATAATTTGATAATCTATAAAATATCAGAAAATTGTTTTAAAAAACTGCACATTATTAGACTAATAGTCTAAAACCTAAAGAGATGCAGATTATTAATATCAGCCACATAGAGAAGCATCAAATCTTCACAGATGATGAAATATTTGGCATTTTTACTTGAAAAATTACTAAAAACAAGAAATAGATGATCAAAATAGGTGAATCTTGAACTTATTGAGTATGTGTCTTATCATTGCAGCTCTAAAGTAGACCTTGAATTAAGACTGTGTGACTGATGAACACTATTAGAAGGCTAGTGTTGACGTTAGGTGAAAAGCAAATAACTTCAAAGTCTGAATCATGTTTTAGAATTGAAAAGGTAAAATAAACATTGTTTTTATTGTCATTTTGTGACACAGTTAACGAGTTATCGACTTAAAGATGTCATACTATAGATGTCCTGTAAACTTCTATTGGGTTGTAACTTTGTACGGTTTACAGAGTCTCTATTTGACTCTGTTTTCTGTATTTGCAGTGTACTGTGAAGATGTTTTCTTTGCAACACCTATGTACCTCACAGTCTCTTCCCCATGCAAACACACACACAGAAAAGCACACAGAAATGTTTCAATAGATAAGGGACTTCTATCCTCACAGGTAGACTGAAGGCACACACACACACACACACACACAGACACACACCTGCTCAGTGCCATCTAATGAGAGCGCTATCACCTGGACTCTCCTGCCTCAATTAGCCTCTGTTCCTCTTCAGTGAGGAATGTGCACACACACACAAACACACATACTTACGTTTATAGTATACACACAATACACTTCTGTCCCCGAGAGGACTTTGCCACTCTATGCTCTCCTGCACAGTGCAGCACTCAGCTCTTTAGCAGCGTTAAATCAACAGGCCCAACCCACATACAGCACATCACATCACCATAAACTGCACAGGGGAAATCTGTAGAATAGACACTTAAATAGAAACTTGGATCTATTTCTCTATATATGTATATATAGAAAAACAGAGACAAATCTTGCTGCTGTCATGCCGTCCTCAGACTCTGGTGAATCATGTATGCATGCAGCGGATGTGTCTGTGTGTTCGCGTGTGCAGAGTCGTGTCAGTAGGAGTGTGTGAAGCAGGCAGCGGGTCTGTTATCTCTCACTGGATCTTATCTTGGTGTCCAGATACAGGCAGGAGCTCTGCTGGTTTGTGAGGGCAGTGGAGAGGGCCGCTGCTTCAAGACAGTCACAGTTTCTTATCCACAAACTCCTCACTGCACTGCACTTCACTGCGCTGCCCGTTGGCCTATTTCTTTCTGTCTCACAATTGCTCTGTCTGTCTAAAGTTGGAAAGACAGTTGAGCAAAATGATTACATTATGCATAAAACATTCAGCAGTGTCTAATTTTTCATTTCCCCCTCTGTCTTCTCGTTCCTCTATTCTCTCTTCCTCTCAGATCCGATGGGAGAAGAACATCACACTTGGGGAACCTCCAGGATTTTTACACTCATGGTGGTGGTATGTATACATTGATCGTCTGGCTCTTTTTCTATCTTGACCACACACACATTTTTCAACAGCTCACAGTCATACTGTAGAAGTACTCTTGGTGGTCTGAAGGAATGTGCAGGGGTGGAGAGGGACAGTAATTGCAGGGAATGCTAAGTGCATCATCTCACACATGTTTAAGTGCTGTACTCCGAGCGTCCCTCTGATTGACAAGTGAGCTAACTTACCTTGCTCTGTTATTTAAGCTGAACTGTGTTTTTTTTTTTTTTAACCTCACATCGATGCTTGTGAAGTTTTGGTGATGTAAACAGGAAATATATTTAGATTCAGTGGGTTATACTGTTGTCTACAATCTCAGCCCGGCTTTATAGCATATATTAGTTTACATTTTGGCAAATTGGCACCATTAAAAGTATGCTGAATTAGGAATTCTTTATTATTAATTAATTAGGAAGATAACTTAAAAACCTGATAATTGTCAAGCAGGTTTCTGCAGGAGGTCCTTAATGAGCATATTTTTTATGTGATTTCTAAGCAAAGTTATGGATATTTATTTGTGATGGATATCAGAGATAATGATATCCTCAGAGAGCGTAAGTCACGCTCAGTCTAAAAATATATGTATCATGTAAGTGTGTTCAGATTTGACATGAGTGATTACACTAAGACGCAATTTTTTAAGCAAATTGCGACAATCGGGCATTGAGGCTTTTAGAGTAACTTAAATACCTCTATGAGCTGTGTGTCACAGCATCTTCTGCTCCTGCAACTGCTAACTGTGTTGGTCAGCAGGCCAAATCAACGTGCCAAACTATAATAACTAACTTCCTGTAGTATTCAGAACACTGGTATGCACCTTTTCCTTTCACCTCACTCACCTCAGTATCTCTGACCCACGTCTGTCCTGCCGCGCCTCCCCTTCAACTCTCCCACTCTAAACATCCATCGTCAAGATCTGGAGACTTTTCTAACCTGATGTTCCATTTAACAGAACAAGACTCTGGCATGGGTTGCACCTCTTTTCTTTCTGCGTCTTTAAACAAATCTGTCAGATGTCTTAATGCTTGATAAAGAGAGGACAGTGTTTTCTATCTGGCTGGAAGAACAGTGTCAGTGGGCTTAGTGCCTGACACGTACACTGTTTTTCTCCATGTCTGAATTAGAGGGAATGGGAACACCCAAATGTAGGATTCCCCCTTTCCAGTTGTCAGGCCAAGAACTAGAAAATCCATCTTTAAGGCAAAAGGGGGAAGCAGACAGGCATTAAGGGGGAAGCTGGGCAGCTGGAAAGGATGCAGACAAAGAATCAAGCAGGCAAACAGGCAGGGAGGTTGAGAGGCTGAATCCTCAGCAAGGCAGCACGAGAGGCAAAGAGAGCCAGGATAAGAGGTTTGACAGGGCCCGCTTTGTTTGTCATTCATGCTATCCTGCTCATCCCCAAAGCCCCCCGGCCGGCCCTGTGTAATAAACCCGGACATGCGGCTTGATTCATTCATCCTCTCTGGCCCCAGTGTGTGTTGTAATTGTGCAGCCTGTTGACACGGTTCATAATGGTCCTTAAAGAGCCTGGCTTCTCTCAACCTGACAGCTCTCAATTGGACAGCTACCAGTAATACTGACAGAATGACATACACAAACATACAGCGCAGCTTAAGTTTGCTCTAGCCTCTGCCCGAACCAATAAGAGGTCTCAGGGAGACTGGCCCAGTGAGTACGAGAGAGTGGGAATAGAAAGGGAAAACGAGCGCTCGTGGTGTGTGTTCTGACTGTATTGATATATTTCAGCACAGTGTGGGAGATGACCTAGTGCGTGTGTGTGTTTGTGTGTGTGTGTGTGTGCCAGAGAGCAGTTGGAGAGTAGGCTGATGATTAGCTAGGCTGAGCAGGGCAGGGCTCCAGTGTAGTATGACCTAGCTAAGGGGCGTCTGTCTGGGCCACGCAGCACGTGGACATTGAGACTCACTGGGGGTGGGGTCCGGGGGTCGGCTGCGGGGGGGAGAGGGGGGGGCGGGCACACAGCTGTTCCAACCTACGCCAACTGCAAACCCCTCCAACCTCCAAGCCTCCCCTCAAAAACAAAGCTCCAGTGGTAGGAAAGCCACCAACTCCTCATCCCTCACCCTTCGCTCCCCCTCCCTCAAAACCTTTCTGTCTTTGGAGGCCTTCCCTTTGTTTGCCGGAAGAGAGGACCCCCCCGAACGGACTTACACTCTTTGGTGCATTCGCAGCCCTTTCCCTTTTGGCGGATTAAACACCAAATCTAAGCTCCGCCGACCCGCCGCACCCCAGCCGCCCCCGCTGTCTCCCCTCCAGCCACCTCAACTTGGAGTTTTCTTCCCTCCTGTCTCTGCCTCTGTGGCTGTTTCCTGTAGGATGGCGTTGGTGGGGGGACTTCAGAATGAGACCAGGGCTGTAAGGGGTTGGTGGTGGTGGGGGGGTTGTTGGGGGAGGAAGAGGGAGGCTGGAAGTGGGGGTCACTCATCCACATCTGTTGTTATGGGTGGAAGGATAAAGAAAAGGCTCAGCAAGGGCTGCAGGTGTTGATTGTGTCATTAGCTCCCTCTCTATTGGCTGCTGCTAGTTGTCTCCTCCTTATCCCAAAATCGATTGCTTTAACCAGTTTTCACTGGATGGCCGCTGAATCCCCCCCCCCAACACACACACACACACACACACACACCCCACACCTCAACACAAAAAACATACACACACATAAAAACCTCAGCACAACAACAGTATGTAGAGGGACCCTCTGTGTGATAGCCTCTAGCAGAAATTCTTGTTTGTGAGGGGCAGAGAAAACAGTGAGAGTACAGCCGTCCTCTGCTCTTAATGTCTGGACTTTTCTTTGTAAACACAGGTATCTGACAGTCTCCTCCACCTCTTTCTCTTTCTCCTCTCTTTCTCCCCTCCTTGCTTAATTTATCCTTCTTTCCTATCACATTGTCCAGATCGGAAAATTAGAGCAGCTTAGTCCAAAAAACCCTTGTCAGCCTCCTAGTTGCAGTTACATCTAAATAAAATCCGATATTAACACTAATAAAGTCAATTCAGCTAATTTAAAAGGACCTGTACACTATTTGTATGTGGTTTCACTTGTTAACAAACTGCTACAATGTGTAAACATAAAACAAAGAAGGATAATTTATCTAATAATAATATAATATGATAATAAATTTAATGATAATAAAGGCTATTTATCTGGTGTTCCTAAAAGGCTAGCAATGGCGGTAACCATCTTGGAATAATGCATCAACGGTCTCAATGGGAGGTTTTGACATTGCACGATATTCAAATCTGATCCAAGTCTAGGAGAAATTTGCTCAAATATATAAACTTTTTCAGCTATTGCAAAACTACTTGAAGAGATTCACTGTAGATAAATTAAGGTTTTGTCACCCCGCCATTAATAACAGTAGAATTTCAAACCAAAATCAGTTTATTTTAATACAGTTGTCACAATCAGTGACTTCCATCACAGAGTAAATCCAAAGTTCCACTTTGACAAGTGAATTAGCATTGTTGACCACACTCAAAAACCTCTTGACAGCTTTGACGTTTTTAAGGTAGATTTGGACAGTCCAAAATAGAAGAAGCTATCATATCAGCTCTGTCTCAACATGCAATTTTATATGACCTCTGCTTCACAAAACAGATGGTTTACAGTCAGCCGTGAGACCGGAGGAGATTGTACAAATATTTTTGCAGAAATTAACCGTGCTAACTTGCTGTCTGGTGACCGACCAAGAGCGCGAGTATTCACAGCATCACCAGAAGGTCCCTTAAGTCTCCGCCATAACCCTGAAAGCAGGAATATCTTCCACCTGTTTGTGTAAATATCTAACAGCACACAACTTCATTTTATTGCTGGTTCCTCTTAAGCCGTCAGTCTTCTTGTGATGACAGTTGCTGTAATTATTAGCCACAGTCCAAAGGGAGTGTTCCTGATTTACATGGCGCGGTGATGTTGTTGTTTCCTCCTGCTCGCTGAACGCATTGCCGCTGCCAGGAGAATAGCTGGTACTTGAGTCAAGGTAATAAAGACAACTGGAAGGGTTGTGTTTCCCCGCCTCCGCTCTTTGATTGCAGCATTTTGTCCCATTAAGAAGAGTCTGTTCTGATAAGAGGAGGAGACAGCTCGGTCGGATCTCTGTAACTTTATTTTTTTGGACTCTCTGTTTCTTCTACTCATGCTCTGTCTGCCTCCTTATCACCATCTGTCTCCATCTCTGTCTTCATTTCTATGTATATTTCTCTCTCCCGACTCACAGACTGACTGGCTAAAGACACACAGAGGATTATCATGTCGACCTGCCACCAGCAGCCTGTGTGTCTGTCTTTCTGTGTCTTTGTTTACTCTCCTTATTATAATGGAAAAGCACATTGTAACCACCGGCTTTGTCAGACCACAGTTAATTGCAAATAATTATCGTGATGGCATTTAATTTTAGTAATTGTCTTCTTCTGGACGGCTGGACACTAATCCCTTCTTCCTCTGTTCTGGATACAAAGTGTGTGTGTGTGTGTGTGTGTGTGTGTGCTGACAGTGCCAGCTCATATTTTTATAGCCTTGTTTCTCATTTGAATGAATAAAAAAGAGTTTTCATGACCCTAACCTGCAATATGAATATCTCCTGTGACTCTTCAAAGTAAGAGCAGTTCTTCTACACAGAGTTGTGTGGCTCTACTACCCATAATACCATAAAGAGCTTCCCATGATGAGATGATTAGATTGAAATGATTAGATAATTGGATAGAAAATTTACTATTACAAGGGTGTGCAGAGTACAAGATTTCTTGCAGATTGCTGGTGCTAATTAACTGTGAATGTTGACTTCCCAGATAATTTCTAAAGATTAGTGTCTCTGAAAAGGAAGTGACAACAACTATGACATGGGCTTTCCCTTTTAAATGTGGGTGGGATTGTCAAATCAGAGCTAACAATGGTCCCATCCAGACTTTGCCTGGATTCAGAGCCAGTGATATGTGAGATGGTACAGTAGATGGGAAGGGATTTTTTTTTCTCCTGATTGCACCCTGACCATGAAAATCTTCTCTTCAGAAAATTATCCTTTCATTACGATAATATTAGAATAATTAATCTGACACCTTTTCAAACGTAATGGCCCCTTTTACCTACTTTTCTTCCTGTTCTAACTCCATACAGAAGAAAGTATCCTGTATCGTCCTACTAAAATAATATCAGAATAATGAAAGTCTCAGTTTCTGCGTTTAGTCCATCAACCGGCGATCTTGCTCCAGATTATGCAGAGACACAGAGAATGAGATTTCCCTGCGTGGCTCAGACAGAAGCAGGTCAGCTGTTCAAATTGCAATATATTTCAGACTTCGCAGGCCATGAGATGTTAGATCACCTTTCCCCTACCCCTGCGCCGGTACCTGCTTGTGTCTGTTCGGTAACAAACTGTAAACCTGCGTCCCATTTCATTTCCCTGAGAGCTGATTGGATTTGCGATGGTTGCGCCTTTTTCACAGCGGCTCGCGTCTGACGGAGCAGCAATCTCTTTAACACCAAACCGATAGATATGATAATGTACACAGGCTTTATTGTCAAGTGACAGAAGGGCAGCACAACACACACACCATATGTGTTCACCACCGTCTTTGCACAGTACCTCTCTGTTCCTCCAGTGTCTACAGGGGACCCCAGTGCTCACTGAACGCCTCAGGGCACAGACTCTGTCTTTTAATCTTCAAATACTTTAATAACACATTTCTATTGAAGTTCTTATGCTTTGAGAAGCTGGTAGCATGTGCTGAGTGTTTTAAATGTATTGTTATTTTTATTTTTATGACACCTATTGTTGCACTTCCTTGATGCCTTCAAATGACAAAAAAAAAGAACATAAGTGAAAGTGTAGATCAGTGATCAACAATCTTCTATAATAACCATATTTAGGAGATAATAACACTAAACCATGAAAATCAAACATCCTGTTCAATGAAAAATGACAACATGTGACAGGGTGCTAGTGAGCGATTCTCTGACAGTTATGGACGATCAGCTAATATTTTCTGCTCCATTTCGCAGTCTGTCATATCAAGTGTCACGGCTGTTTCCAACATCAGCACAAAGAATGCATCTAACAGTTTATTTGCACCTTTAAATGACAGCAAGAATTTCTTCTTGTGACTTCAGCAGGTCTTTTTTATTTATTTTATACGCTGTCCATGAAATCAATATCTCGAAGAAGGAGAAGTCCTTAATGTGGACAGGCTTAGCAGGTACTTAATTTCAGTGCAGTAATTAAGGGTCCATTTGGAGTGGGACCTGGTGGCCCCTGCTGCCCTGGAGGAGTGGGTTTGGTCTAATTAACCAATATGAGTACGGCTGATTGGGCAGTAAGTAACATAATCACAGCTGATTGGTCAATAATGTGCAGGTCGCTAGGGCGGGCTGAGAGGAACATTTGGCGACCTGTCCTCCCTGGATAAAAGCTCTCTGGAGCTGAGCTGCAGGCTTCAGGCTGGACTGTAGGACTGTGTGGTGGCCAAAGTGGCAGCTGCTGTGTGTCTGAGCGTAGAGGGCTCCTGTTTGACACATCTTTTCAACAGGGCTTGGTATCAAACCTCAACACTGCTGAGTATTGTAAACTGTCCAGTAGAGCAAATGTTTCGTCGACAAATCGATGAGTCAATCAACAGCAATATACTTAAATAATCTTTTAAGCAAAAATGCAAAAGATTCAGCTGTTCCAGCTTCTTGATGTATGTCATATAAACTAAATATAGTTGGGTTTTTGAAAGTCTGACAGACAAATCAAGCAATTAATTATGTAAAGTTGGGTTTTAGTAAATTGTGATGGGCATTTTTCACTAAACAATTCATTGAAGTTGTATTTATTTATATTTATTATTTGTTTAAATAGTATTTTATTTGGTAAGAAAGCACATTCCTTGTCTTATATTAAAGATATTTATTGACTCTGGACATCGGACATATGCTTTGCTCTCAACAGACCTTCTTCTAAACTAAAGGTTCTTGTATGGCTGCTTATGTTAAGGCATCATTTAACACTGCTGTCACCTGAGTCTCTTGTGAATGCTGAGCAGAAAGTCATCCTTTTAAACAATGCTGTTTCAGATAGAATAATGTGTTTGTATTACTCAAAGAGGTATAAAAAAGTATAATTTTGTGTTTGAACTGAAACTTGTGTCTCACTCATACCCTGTATTTAAACATTTCATTTCAGTAGAACTATTTGTTGTACCTCCATCAGTCCATTTTAACCACTTTCATTTGTACACAAACTAGTCTCCATTAGGTAACTGCAACCATATCCACATCAGAAACACACAAACCAGGAACATAATATGTCTACAGATCACACAGTTGAAGTGTCTAACTGCTGTCGCTCTCTTGTCCTGTGTGCACAGTGTATTCTGGGATCTGTACTGCGCTGCTCCGGACCGGAGGGAGACATGTGAACATTCCAGCGAGGCCAAGGCTTTCCATGACTATGTGAGTGAACTTAACCAACCCTCCAGTTGTGTACGAGGGGGCACAAATATACTCACACACACTCACACATGCTTGTGAGAACATACAAGCACACGCAGAGTGTGTATCATAGATGGGGACTATTCTGTGATAATGCTGCTGGTTCTTGTTGTGACATGTCTGGTCTGCCTGCTGCAGCTTCTGTTCTGGATGGGACTGACTCTGAGCCAGATGTCTGAAATAGCATGCTTTTAAAAATGCAGCACCTATGAACACCACTTGTGTATTTTATGGGAAAGCCCTTAAACTTACATCTTTGAATTTCTTAAAGTCTTAACAGTGAGTCTTTATGCCATTCTGCCATATCAGTCAGATATCAGTTTTCCAACATCTGCCTCAGCTGTAGCTCATCTCCTGGCTGCACTTCCTCAAACGCCCAACCTCTGACCCCTCAGGTCTTAGCGAAACTGTCGGCGTGAGGTGAAAGGTCACAGCTCTGCCTGGCTATTTATTGGTCCACTCAAGGTTTCAGTAAAGGTCAAAGCACATAAAGCAGCTGGCTGATCACACAGGCACATTAACACACACATTCACAAACAATACACATACACATAGGACACATTTAGAGCTGGACAGGCTTTGGTAGTTGTGGCTGCAGGGGATGGATGGGGTGATGAAAGGTCAGGGTCCACGGCCCCCTTGACCCTCTCATCATCTGAAGAGTAGGAGCAGTCGATCAGTAAGCTATCGAACACATGCACACATGCACGTTGTTTTTGAAGACCTGGTGAGCTACTTATTGGCCCGGCTCTCATTATTGCAATTTGAGGTCACTCACTTTCTGTCAGTTTGGGTTTTAAAATGGATTTTTATACTTTACCTTGAACGTCTCCCCCTTTTTGGCTTGTCCACACTATATGAAATATTTGCGCTGTGTACGTATTTGACTAAGGATTACATGGGTGTTAGGATGTTGACTGGACAGACTGCTTCAACTACTAGATTATCGTCCCACCTGGGCAGAAGTGAAACCTGAAATGGATTAGAGGCACTATTCTTACCATACACTTTTCATTCAGGCAGTTTTAGCCCATAGCCAGTCACCCATTCAGTTGAACTCTCTTATAAGGTTTGACAGCAAAAGTGTGAGCACTTGTCAGATGAACAGATTACATTTGTTGTGCATGTACTATGCATGTGTGTGTGGGCACGAGTTGATGTGTGTGTCTCTGCAGCCGTCTGTCTGTGCTTGTGCACGAGTTGGACCACCATAAGATTAATTACATGGTTAATTAAACCTAGTAGTTAATTAAATCTGACAACTGTGTCTAATTAATCTAAATGCAATATAATTTCCTACACCTTTCTCCAGAGGTAGGCCAGCTGGATACCTGCATGTCAGCTCTTTAACGGCTCCGGTTTGACAGGCCTGGTCAATATATGGCTGAACTGCAAGCTTCAAATTCTGCCGCCGTAAAAGACACATTTTAAAAGTCCATGTGTTTCAGTCTGCAGCTACATAAATCAGTCAGGATCACTAATGCTGCTGTGTATTTGACCATACAGGGAATATAACAAATGCAGACTTAAACTGGGACACTGTGAGGTGTCGTGGGCACGTTTTTATTAAGGTTTTAATAAAAAGGAGGAATTAAGGTTAGAAAATCATCATCTTCCATCTTCTTTTAACTCTTCATTGAAGCACAAGCTTGTCTCATGCATACTTTTTTACCCCAAAATCCAGACACATATATTTGCTCTCTTTGGGATCTTCACTAGTATTTAAAATTAAGTTATGCATCTGTGAACAGTGTTTAACTGCACAGCATGAGTTGGTAATGACTGACCCAGGGGGGCGCTGCTTTTTAGTGATGCTATTTTAAAATAAAGGAATAAAATAATTTTTAGGTCTATTTTCTATTGTAAATGTTGGAACTTTAACCCAAAGTGACAGTCAATAGTAAAGCATGCACAGAAGGTGTAGTAGAGGCTCTGACAACAGGAAAATGCAAGGCTAGGTGTGTGTGAACACATGTGCTTTTGCGACTGTTACCCTGTGTGTGTGTGTGTGTGTGTGTGTGTGTCTTTGTGCGTTTGTGTGACAGAGAGAGTGTCAGGGTCGAAGTGTGTGAATCCCCAGGGTGATGAGGGGTCTGTCTGTCTCTGATTAACTCTGGCTCCTTGGTCCCCACAGACCGACGGCCTGATCAAGTCTCTATCACGGCCCCTTGCTGATAACGGCTCCCTCATTCCCCCAAGTCCCCCCGGATCACAGAGTGAAAAACAACACGGCTCCCAGGAGTCGCGCACACACTACGCTCCTTGTGTGTCGTTTAGCAGGAATAGTGAAAGAGGAATGTGTGCAAGATAAATTGCTTTGTTTTTATTTATGTTTTTTTTTTAAATATAATTTATAGTCTTCTCTGGTAGCTTCGCTGTCAGTTAGTCGTGGATAACAATGAGGAAATATCAGCGCTGGGTAAGAAAATTGGTATTTAGAAATACAGTTTGCTTATTTGTTTCCTGGAACTAATGTGGTTGCTAGGCAACATTGAGCCAGAGTAGAGTCTTAGTTACAGATTTGGTTTGGCTCAGCTTGGTTTGGCTCAATTTGGGCCGGTTCTGAAGGCACCTCTTACTCAGCCCTGTCCTACTGGCCCCCGTTGTGAGCGATGATGTAGACTTTGTGGACTCTCCAGTTTGGGAAAGATAATGGAATATAATGTGCTAATCCTCAGATCTGGGGACCGGTTGACAGCTAATCCAGGGGAATGTGGTGGGATTGGAGCCCTGGCCACACTCCCAGAACTGGAGGCCTCTGAGTAGCTGGATCGGTGGTTGGCTTCACCCCTGGATGGTGAATCTGCAATCGTAGCTGCTCGAAACTCGCGCGTAAACACTCGCACATGCAGGCACGCTTGTGTGCATGTCGCGCACACCCACACTCAAATGCAAATGAACCCACACGCTCCAAGTGAGACGAAACTGTATCATAAAGAGCTGGAACAGCCTCAAGTCTTGTACCTCTGTAAAGTAATTTAAGTGGTCTCTCTTGTTGTCTTAATTGTTGGAGTTGTGTTGTGTCCTTCCTCTTCACATTGCCTTTTAATCATGTTTATTTCCTAAAAGAGATCCGCACATCTTATAGTCCTCTTTTCTGTTGGAATTTGGATGTTCCTCAAACGAGCACTTTGTTAAGGAAACGTGTTTGATTATAAGAACATGGCACGTCTTTAGTAACTCAATATGAATGATTAAAGGACAGGATCTTTGTGATGAAGAAAGCATACATATTGACGAGCAAGCAGGCACGCTTGTTCACACACACACACACGCACATTCTTGCTCACATTAAAGCAGGCAGAAGAATGAGTCTCTGTTTTCTCCGCCTGTGAAACACACTCACACACATGCACGCACTTGCAATCACAGACAAACAGTCTTTCAGGAAGTGATACACTCGGCCTTGTTGTTGCAGACATTTTGCTTTGCCCCAGCCAGAGGTCGCAACCCTGAACATCTGCGATTCATGCCAATCCGGGTTCATTGCCTGCGGAGTGTCACAGATTTAGTGCCACAAGTGCGTCATTCACATCGCAGTGCTTCACTGACTTCACTCAGCACTCGGCCTATTGATGGGAACTGTCACGATGATGGTTGAGATAAAGTATCTAATGTTGACAATCATTTCATCATTTCATCATTTCAAGTAAAAAATTACAAAGATTCACTGGTTTCAGCTTCTCAGATATGAGGATTTTATATAATTTTAAATGGATTTTAAACAAGCATGTTGAACATGTCAGGTTAGGGTTTGTAAAATTGTGATGGGCATTTCTTACTATTCAATTTAGGGTTATTTTATTATTTTCTCAATGAATTAATTTGTCCACAAAATAGTGAAACATGCCCATCAGGATTTTACCAAGATGACGTCTACAAATGTGTTGTTATGTCTGAGCAACAGGCCAAATCCCAAATACATTCAGTTTACAATTCTAAAAGACAATAAAAGGAGCAATTCTTCACATTTAATAGGATGGATGAATGACTGATTTTTATTTGAAAAATTACTCAAATGAATAATCAGTCATCAAAATGGTTGCTGATTCTTTTCCTGTCAATCGACTAATCGATCCTATAATAAATTGTTTCAGCTCTAAATCAATTAATCTAAAAAAAACAAAAAACAAAACAGAATAATGAAAATGAGAGTTAGTTGCAGCCCTGATCCTATCCGTTCCCAGCATGCATTGTGCAGACAGTACATATAGATGGAGGTGCTCTGTTGGCTGTTGCCTGGGGATTCTTTGAGAGGGTTAAACATTTGTTAGGCTGGACCACAGTAACAGGTGGCACAAGGGGAGGAGCTGCACTCTGTAAACAACCGTTGATGGCCAAGCCTTTGTCTGGACTCTGTGTGTGATTTTGTGTGTGTTTTCCGTCTCCACAACTCCCCGTGTTGCTGCACCAGGTGCTCGCTCGCCTCTTTTTGACGCCACACGTCTGCTGAAACCCTTCCTTCCCTTTCATAGCTGTCTTTGTCTCTGTCCTTTTTACTCATCCTGCACCGTTTTTTCCTGCTTCGATTCCTCTCAGGTCTTTTTCACCGCCAACAACCCCCCCCCACCATCCT